ATTCAAAACCAACCGCGCTGAAGAGCAATATTTAAGGAAAGTCTTTAGAAGATATCCTGATCAGAGCAACAACAACACATCTTCCGAGCATAATTCTGTGGTTCTCTCCTAGGCTGCAGTGTGACTGCTTTCTCGCTAAATGATATGAATAATTTCCGGGATGATGTCATGAGCCAACCCACCCCATTCCCGCTACTTCTCGGTCGTGAACTTGAAAGACGCAAATTTCGGGATCTTTGGAAGCTCAAAAATAATAATAATAACAATAATAATGATAATAATAAAAAAAAATAATAATAATAATAAAATAACCAAAATAGTTGCTAAATTAATTTTTTCGATTTTTTTTATTCGTGGGACAATAAGATTTACTTTGTTGATAGAAAAGTTTTTGGGTAAGTGACACTTTCAGAACTAACAGATTGAGAAACCTAAAGCTAAAGAACTCAGCTTGTGGATCGGAAGCAAGCGTCATCTGTTTGAAGATACTTACGTTAAGATCACCCGACCAAACGATCGTTCTGTTGTTGTTTTTGGCATGCATATACACCATGCAGAGGAAGCTTACAGAAATTTACATAAGCCGTGATTGAATTGTGCTTGTTTACCATAATAACTATATTGGGCTTGTGAACATTACCTTTTTAACCTAGCGTGTCTTTTGCTTTTGTAGCACCGAAGTCCCATAATGCAGCACAGCACGAGTATCACTACAATGGTAGCACCAACCAAGCTGTAAATAAGGGCTACAGAACTCATGGCCTCGTTTTTCTGCGTTTTGATTGCAAGGGTAGGTGTTTTGGCCATGATATCCGGTGCTGCGACTGTTGCTGTTGAAAAAAGTCAAATCTAAATAATCCAAGAAGCATTTAAAACACGTAATCATAGTAAGTAGATATTTAGAAAAAAACTTAATCAAGCTTATTGATTTTATATTTGAACTTTATCTTTTGTAGATAAAATCGATAATAATTCACTGATGAGCAATTCTGAAAGGAAAGTTTAATGTATTTTACATTTTTAATATATTGTTTATCGTGAATAGACCAAAAATAACATCTTCGTTATTTGAGATGAAGTTGGAATTATTGCTTGAATCAGACCATTGCCATAGAGTAAATGACATCGTGAAATGGTACTCTGGTAGTTGTAAACAGACCTTTATTTTTCTTTCTAACGTAGAAAAGAGTTTAAATCCAACAGGACTGATTTGGGCATTCACGTTGCCGTCTGTTGTTGTGATAACCAATTTGGCCGTGACGTTATGTAAAAACGTTCAATTAACTAGCCAGTGATCCACTTACCGTTTTTCTCGCAAATGGAGAATGTCTTTTCACTACACGATACGCCATTCCATTTCCCAGCTGGAAAGGGTGCGCCATACAAGTCAAACCAAATCCCATAGGCCCGTGCACAGTCGGACTGTACAATTAAAATTATAAATTATCTTATTTATCGAAGTTTAAGTTACAGAAAGTAGCTAGCCCTGCTCACCGAAAATAACTTAAGGGTTAAACCGGTTCTGTGACCATCATTCATAGGGGTATTGAGCTTAATCATTTATGCGTTTATCTTTATTAAGACTTCTACTGACCGTACACACGATTTAAAGATAACTCAAACACATTACAAATTAGGAAATAATACGATGAGTATAACAAATACATTATCAAATAGATAAACAAATGATTGAAAGAATAACAATATGAAGTAGCGATTTGTACCAATAAATTAAAAAATAATAGAAACTAGAGAAAATAATAGTGCTTTTCCCTTGATAGAAATTAGTAAAATACAATAGTTAATTATTTTTTGAATGAAGAAGCCGTGAGAATTTGAATATTTAGTCGATCTCATTCTACAATTTCAGCCCAATATATCGAACATAAATTTTCCATAATTTGGTAACAGGCAGATCTGTTTTAAAAACATTGTGCTTCCATGGGATTTTATTTAAAAGTGTGTCGAAGATGATGGGAAATTTTCCAAATTTGAACTTGTTCATGAACCAAAGGCTTGAAGTTGGATATGATGAAAACCAAAGACAAGTATGTACGCACATAAAAATATGAAGGGGTCTAAAGATATGGTAGCAAGTTTTGCCCCAAACTAAACAACTATATGACAAAAACGAAAGAATGTTCGCCTCGTACCGCTTTATTATTAGGCTCGTTCTCATTCCAGTTGGAGTAACGAAGAGGAGTATCGTCATACACCCATTTGTAGTTATTATCCTTATCAGGATCGTGCAGTCCAATCCAAAAAACCTAAAGTAAGAGATTGTCACTGAAAAATCCGATGAATACATCAATAATTATTCTTTTGAAGACGTATAGAGCTTCACCTCTTTCGGTCTTAGAATTATGTTTATATTAACTTTAGATGATAAAAAACAATAAATTAGCACTGCTGAACTCATATTTTGGTTGAGTACCATATCTATATATCGTTTGACATAAACAAGAGTCCGACAGAACATTCTTCCGTGAGCAAACAGCCACCCAACTAATTTTTGGTGTTTGCATATTGCACCAACTCTCTTAACCGGACAATTCTACGACAGATATTTCTTCCAATTCCCGAGGATGTTCGCCTACGAGAGATTTGACTGTTATTTTTCCAAAGTTGTGTGCTGCTATCTTTTCAGTTACTATCGTAATTTCTTGCCATAATTTATCAATTTATTATTCTATCACCTGGTTTTGTACGAACCTTACCAAATATTTGGTTTTATCAACTGGATTGATAATGTGAATCTGATGTGTCGAGCGTTCGTCCTTTGTCGGAGCGAGTTCAAGAGTTGTGGGTTATATGGTTTATAATTATACAGAAAGATGGAGCTACGCTACAATAGTAAATCAGTAGAATAGATAGAGGATATTGCATGGCCGCGCGGGGATACGAGGGATACTTTCAGCTCGAGAAGATAAAGTTCGTATCCCCAAGCTGCCATGTAATCTGTTTATTTTATAGATACTCATGAAATTCCTACGCAAAAGACAACTCTTTTTTTTATTCATTTTCGAAACAGCAAAATAGTGCGATTAAAGTGGTCACCTACTGCAAAATGCCTGTCACAAAAATGTTATAAAACTCAGATATAGAGTTATAAAGGAGACATAATTATAAGTCGTAGAAGGTCTTATTTTTAGTGTTTGTATTTTCTTCTCCCTCTATGAATTTTTCAACATCACTTTCCGAGACTTCGTCAAATCTTCCTGAATGTTTTCCAAACTCGGAAAAAGGATAGATGTGCAAATTTGGCAGCTCATCGACAAAGTCATCGGTTACCGTACTGTCTTCGCACCTCGAAGCCATTTTGTGAATGAAATTTTAAAAGAACCGACCGCGCTCCTGAACGGGAAGCTCTCTTGTAACTGGCTAATCATATTAGTAACCATGTCGACACCAATATCCTCACACGTGAAAGATAAAAATAGTATCTTCACTGCGGGCGATGAAGATGCGATTTTCAGTAAAAGGAGAAATCCTGGTATTTCATCGGTATCTACATAATAAAAAGCGTTTGTCGATACCGATTTGAAAGATATTTTTTCCAGATTTTTTGCAGCTTTCCAAACTGCCTAGATGTGGGAAAAGGCCGCAGACTGTCACATGTTGCTTTTAATGATTTGGGAGATGAATGTACCTAGCGACTAGTATGGACACGTTTTCGTCATTCCTCTTTAAATCACTAACCTCTGCGAGTCGCATTTCTTTAATTTTATTCGTAATAGAAGACTGCTCTTTGTCATCATCGATCTTCACCAAATATCCTCCGAGACTTTGACAGTGTCTGCTAGCTTGATTCCAAGTCAGAGAATCAAAACTGAATTTATAGCAGGATGAACCATGTTGATGATACCAACCAATCGGGCAGATACTTGGTTGAACTAACAAAAGTAAAACAAGTCAAGTTTACGATTGTTCAGTCTTTAGAGGAAACTGTACCAATCATCGTTTACACCGAAAAAAAGCAACTCGTACTAAATAATACTGTGTAAAAGTAATGCAAATGATCATCGTTGATCATCACACAAATCCCAATTCATTGACGGGATTTAGATAATGTTTACCACAAGGCAATTATTCTAACAGATGAGATTAATCGTTGAGATCTTCGCTCGCGAATAATCAATTTCCGGGCGCTATATTTGAAGAGAATTCTTTGCTTTCCTTTTAAACTGAACTATATTCTGGGAGACTGGAAATTGAGATACATTACCGGGTTGATCAACAGCTTCAAAGCGTAACACGAATCCTATCCATGTCATGTAAGAACTATTTCCAGAATGAAAGTTTATCAACGTGTAGTTTCCAGTCATCAAAATAGTTCCATTCGTTGAACCACAGTATCTCCCAAAACTTTGTTTTCTGTCGTCACGGAACGTCAAATAGTCATCCCTTTGGAAAAGAAGTAAAAAATAAATCTAAAATAACATACATCACTGCATTGAAATAATAGTTCGCGGATGGGTGGATATATTTCTACAAGTCATATTCGAAAGTTTGCTTCACTTGCGCGTTTTTGAGTCCACGATCAATTACTTTGGACTCGAACAATCAGTGACGGAAGAATCGAAATCAACTGAACTCGTGTAGATTTTTTCAACCTGGATGAATAGATCGGAAGAATTTTGGAGGAGCTAGACGATGAGATTACAGGAAAGCAAATGGGAATAGACAGGAATTTTACTTGAACGGCTTTAGATAATTTGCCAAGATAAAAGTTAAAACAGCACGTTTAAGGAAGTGAGGTACCTAGTTGCTGCCTGCCCTCGTCAGTTTGTAACAAAATAAATTTTCGCTATTTTCTCTCGCAGCTGATTGAAGGATCAGAAGAAAAGTGAATATGTAAATGAACATAACTCATCTTTACTGTTTGCCACTGTTAAAATCAAGCTTGAACCCAACATTCGTTCTTTCTTCTAACTTAAAATACCCATAAAGGATAACAGTCATTCCTCACTTACACGCACTGATAATGAGTGCTTAGATCAGGCAACCTCATGTACTCAAAAGTGATTTTCAATCTAAATCCAGATGGAATAGGAACTTTAAATTCACACTCCATATTGTCTGGATAGCCTTCAGGATAATTTGGACTTTTCAAAGTGTTATTCACCACTGAACCACAGTCTGGCAACAAAATAACAAACAAATACTGACTTAAATGGTATAATAATATCTGTAAATCAGAGCTCACTGATTAAACAATGAATAATGTGGTTTTGTCTTATGAAAAAGCCTAAAATGACAGAGCATATTAAGATCCTTAGAGCCTTAAGGCCTGTATATAAAGAGAGAAACGAAGACTACGAAGTGCAACTACGCGACTTTTGACTTCGATGGCGACTTTCTGAGCAAATTTTAAGCACTTGTCATTCTTATCGCTACGGTCACTGTGACTCTTGCTGTTGCTGTTGTAGCACTTTGTCATTGTCATTGTTATTGGGATATTTTGCCTTTTACAAAATGCCACCCTCAGTGTCTAAATAAAATTGAAGGTCTCATTAGGGCTAACCGTCAGCCGTAAAACAGCAAAAAAAAAGTTATAGCCGTTAGATAAAAAGTTAAGGAATATTAACCGTCAGTCTTAAAAAAAAAGTTAACCGTAACAAGTTTCCTCTAATCGCAAAGAAAACAAATTAACCGCTGACCGTAATTTTGAGACACTCAAAATTCAGTGACTGTGTAATTGTGTGGTTACCCTGTGCGGCAGCATCGCCGCCAACTGTCACATTCCACATCTGCAGAACGAGCAATGGGAAAAGACTTCTCATCATATCTTGTTATCTTGAGTTACAGCAGTATCCCTAAATATCAGAAACAAACAAAAAAAAATGGCGATGAGATCTTTCGCAAAAATGTCCATTGATTTTAAATGTAAATTTGCTAATGGCTTGTTGCTGAACACATTCCGTCAACCGACCTAAATGGAACTTAAATTATTCAGGAGATAAAACAGCTCATGAGTTCACAAACACCTTGAAGATCAACACTGTGAAATTTAGAGAAGTAAAGGTGACGGGTTTTACCACATCGATTAGATATTAGGGCATCTTTAATTGTAAAGTCCGCGTGGCTAGTAGGCACTCAGAAAATTTTAGCAGGCTGACTTTTGTGTAAGGCTTTATTGCAGCCACTAATCCAAACACGAATATACCCTCGCTAGCAACATACAGGTTCAAAGAATTGACGAACAGCTGAAATTGAAATTCAGAGTTTCACCACCCTTGAAAAAAGAAAGCAAAATTTTGGGAAAACCGGGAAAAAGATGTTCGATCCATGCACATATTGCGCTAGTTTTTTAAAACCGTCCTCAAAACCACTATGGAAGAAAACCTATATGCAGGAAATCTGGTTAAGTTACCTTCTATAACACCTGACAAGTAATGAACCTGAAAACACGTCTTCGTGGCATTGTGCGTTGCAAACTCTTAAAGAAAAAAAAACTGTTCAAGGAATATACCGAAAATGATAATGAACACAATTTTTACCTGAGACAACTGTGATTAATACTGGTGAATCTTCCTGTTCCTTGGCCTATAAAGGACAGAACTGAGTGGTAACCTGTACCCGGCTGGGATGATCAAATTAGGTAATTAGTGTTAACAACTGGGTTGAAAACGTAAATTAGCCACCGTAAAGGGTAAAAAAGCTGACGTTTCGAGCGTTAGCCCTTCGTCAATCGCTCTGACGAAGGGCTAACGCTCGAAACGTCAGCTTTTTTACCCTTTACGGTGGCTAATTTACGTTTTCAACCCAGTTGTTAACACTAATTACCTGCTATACTCTCCCACCGACGCAGCACCACAGTTTCTTTAGAAACTTACCCCTTTATTCATCTGGGATCAAATTACTTTGAACAAATCTCCATTTTAAAATGTACTTGATACTTGATATCTTAGTTCCTGAATGAACCTTTTAATGAGTTCTTTGGCAAATAAGTTACTGTGTCAACCAATCAGGTTTGGTTTGTAATTTGAAAGTTACTCTTCAGCAACTAAGTTCCTCAACAAACCAATGACATGGAAGAATATATGTCATGTCATTTATAAATTAAGGTTTGCCTGCTTTATTTCTGTTAACGACATAAAAAACAGACAACTATAGGCGGGAAATTTCTACTTTTAGAGCAGTAATGTTTCGCCATACATTGGATGCCATCTGTAGTAAATTATTCTTCTTCAATGCTGCATTATTTTCGTTACTGCTTAACACGTGGAAGCTTTTTGTTAGGCTTTTGTCACCGTTGTAATTTTGCAGCAAAACATTATTTATTGAATTGTCGTCTGTCTTGTCTCACGCAACGTTAAATCAACACGTAATAATGGCTCGAAATTATTTGAAAAGTTGCTATTCTTGTAAAATCGTTCATTTTTCTTCCTACGGCTTTGTCACCACAAGTTAGACAAAAAGCACAACGTTTTCCGTCCTTATGATAAAATCATCCCGAAAATTTGTGCACGATGAAACATTTAGCCGGCTTCACGCACTCCGTAGGAGTTTTAAAACATATTTTAGGCGCACTTTTACTAGAATAAACAATACATTTTCCCCCATTATTTAACATAGTAAATGTTTTGTTCAAGATGACAGACAAGACAGATACCAGAAGCTGTTTATGTCTTTCTATAAGACACCAAATGACTTCATTAATAAATTATCTCCTATATTTTCCAGCTTGTCTAATTCTTCGGCGGAAGTTGCTCGAATTTTGAATTCAAGTTACACTTGAAATTGTTTAAGTTCTCATTAGGTGTGACATGCCACTGAAAAACAGCTCAGTAATTTTGAACTTCATTATTATTAAAGAAATAAAACGTCGGGAAAATTGTGTGATTCACATTTCTAGTCAATAAGTCTCTATTGTTTAGATATGCAATTGTATTAGTCTTAATACACGGATGGTTTAATTTGAAAACTGTCAAACAATCTTTAGAACTTATGCATGGACGAACTTTTTTCAACAGTCGTTACCTATTTGTTTTGTATCTGAGGCGAAGAACTGAACATAAATTCAAGAAAAAACTCCACTGAAGAAAAGTGAAATTGTTTCAAAAAAAGCTTCAAGAGATGGGGTTTTGCCTAAATTAAAGAAGCTTGCATTTTTCAGGGAACTTATTCAGCGTCGCTTTAAGGCCCTGTTTACCATTCGAGTTGTTATCAGTCTTTTAACTGTCGACTGGTCTCATTCGCGTTTTCAACGACGTAGAGAGTACTTTATTTAGGCAGGCGATAAATTAAATCGTGCTATTTTTTGCAATTACGTAGAGACCAAACTGTTCGAGTAAAGCTCCTGTGGACTTATTTTCTAGCGATTACGACTCATTTTTCGTTAAATGTGTTTAATTGGCGCCTTGAAACGAAGTAAGTACGTGCATATGTATAATATGGAATTAACAATCAAGGAAATGAAAGACTAGAAATACAGAATATTGTGGTGAAACTTGTAAGATTTCCTTTGCGAAGCATCATGTGTTATAGTCTTCATCCTGAACTTTTCATCTTACACTTAACGAAGGGTAAATTATGATTTGCCTGGTTTTTACTTAAGCATTCATGAAATAATCAGTTGGGGAAGCTGACAGCCATAGCAATACTGCTTCCGATGAAGGAAAACAACTCAAGGCCACTCAGAAAGTGGCATTACATCGTCGTTTTATAATCGATAACAGAATCCTTGGAACCTTTTAGCCATCACGGAAACATTACAGCATTTAGGTTTTTAAAATCATGTAGGAACATTAAGCAGCAGGCTCGTAGTACATAAAGGTGGTAAGACATCCAATAAATTTTATTCGTGCCTTGAATTATGCATTGCCTCTATTTCATTTTTTACGGTCTTTTTAAGGACAGAAGTCTATGAGGAAACGGTTGCTAGATCCTTTTTTTCCTTATAACTCTACTTTTGGTGTGCTGTCTTGTAAAAAAAAAAAAAGAAAAAAAAAAGAGAAAATTTAACGGTCGACAGATGCCACCTGCTATTGAGGTGAGTACCTTTTGTAACTGCCACTGGCGATTTATAGTAACTAATTCTAACAATTTTAAACGCGAACGGTACAGGGTACGGTTAAAACTGCAAATAAAACAGCGAACGAAAACTATTACAATATAAACTAGAATAAATACACAAGGAAAGCTACAACGAGAACAACGAAGAAAACTACATGATAAAAGACTTACATTTGTTGCGATGTTAAAGATCCTGCCTAGTGGCGAACAAACAGCATGAAGCGAAAAGAACAAATATACCAAACCACACTCGACGAAACTACACTGCCAAACTGCCCCAAACTACGATGAACAATACGGTTAAATACGCGCTACATTACGCAACGTTACACAATGACACAAAGAAAGCGCACACAAAATTTTATTACAATTAGCACTCCTGCACAAAACAATAAACGGAAAAGAATGTAAGCCGTTGCGATCTACTCCTTTAAACTAATCATTGAACATGTTTGTGCTAATAACTTTCTCTTAGACTTGCACAATACGCGATTTTAACTTTTGATAGATAAGCTATGTTTATGGACGAATATACAACAAAAAATTGTAACTATTCTTTACCATATGTCAGTACTGTTCTCTTGTAAAAATAATTTTTCAGATATGATTGAGAGCGGTTAAAATGTGCTTCCGTATGATGCAGAAAGATCAAATTTCCGCCTAGTAAAACGCGGGAAAATTGACCATAACATAGTGTCATGCTTAAATGTTATTGAGAGAGGAGAGATGGGAATGTAACTATTTTAAATGAAGTAATTCGTATTTGCCGAAGTTTTTAGTCGTTTTGCATCTAATATCCAATTTTCTGAATAAGAAACGCTAAAAAAAACTTTCGTTAAATACCCTTTGATTTTTCAAAAATGAGTTCCAATCATGGGTAGATGTTGAACGTCGGATTTTGACTTAGTCTTTGCTAGTTGTTGTAACTTTAATTCTTTTTGCACCAGTAAAATAGAATAGGAGAGATATATAAATGAAGTTGTACTCATAAGTGAATCGAAGGATAAAAAAATGATTCGCCGTCTGCGACTCACCTTTTCCAAAAGTGAAGTTAGTCAACAATGCAGTCCAGGTCAAGAACATGAAAAATGAACAAATTCCGTGCCTTCTTCAAGGTAACGGTTTTCTGTTTCTACCACGCGCGTATGACACAAGTTTTAAGTTGATCGCTAGCTCCAAGCAGTGGATTAAGCTTCCCAAATCGACCTGTCGTTATGAACGAAACCTTATTATGAAAATAAATTTTAAAAAAATGCTTGCAGCAGTCAGTTCCATGTGGAAATTAATGCAAATGGCGCAAATGGATGTTATCCGCTTCGCTCGATGGAGAGAATTGGGTCTCTTAGGAATATCTTCACATGTTAACATACGTATTAGACAACGAAATTAGTCCTTTGACCAACATTGTAAAAATTTCGATTAATTCTTTTAGGTCCAATTGACGAAAACGCTATGAAAAGCAGATACTTAGACGTTAAGTTGTACGTTTTTAATCCAAAAACTTTTGGATTAAAAACTCCCTATTATTTAACATAGTAAATGTTTTGTTCAAGAAAATAAAATTTAAGGATAATGATCTTGTTTCTTTCAAGCAGCTGAAGATGTTTTCTCGCCAAGTGTTTGTGATACCCACATTTGGAAGCTCGGTAAATTTCATTTTCGTTTTATTTCAACTACACAGAAATAGGAGTTAAGGCTGAATATCAAATCCTGCCATGGGGTGAAAGTCAAACTCAAGTTTTTCATGCATTAAGTTCAGTCATCTCCTACCTTCCAAGATCCAACGTTCTTTGATGCCCAACACTAGACTTATTTAGCAAACGCGTTTTCTTTTATTAGTCTGGTAGCTATGGTTACGATAGAAACTGTTGGGTTTCAAGCCAAGATGAAAATTAATATTAGAAATGAACTTCCCTCTTCCTGTTTGGGCTCTTTGCACAAAAAGCTAAATTGGTAGAATAATAATGTGTCTTGGACTATAAAATGTCATTATTAATTCCTTGAAGTGTCGCAAGTCACGTCAGGTGCAAATGCATTATAATTGTAGATCGTCTTTGGTAATTCATGTCAAACAAACGCAATGCAGGTGAATTTGAGAGAAGAAACGAGAGACCTTAATTAACAAATAGAGAAGCCTTGACTGTGCTCTGTTCTGTTATAAAGCACGCAGGAAGCGGCTAGAGCACGAAAGAAGTGCTCTTGAGTGCTCTAGCCGCTTCCTAAGTGCTTTATAACAGAACAGAGCACAGTCAAGGCTTCTCTATTTGTTTTATAATAAAGAATCCGTCAAATTCCCCATGCATTACTTTCAATTTTCAAAACAAACTTTATTTCCAAAGCGAACTACAATGTCGTCAGCATGCTCTATACTCTCATAGAGCACGCTACAATAAGCCAATCAGAATCCCTGTTAGAATGGTTCAA